GACACTATTTTTAGACGACCTTCGTCACTCGAAAAACCTTCAAGGAAGACCTCGCAACCTTCGCCAAGGTTTAAAAGATGTATGATACATTCTCCGTGATATCGAACAGTTTTTCGTCTTTCCACGCCTCTGCTCTCTTTAAAGGTTTAAAAATATTTTCAACGATATCAAGTTTTTTAGAGAGTTTTCATTTTAATCGTTATTGACAATTTATACGATCACTCAGACTCGTTTCACTATCGTTTCATTAAAAATCACGTCGTTTGAATATCGTTTTCTTTTTTTTTTTACAAATTGTACATTAATTTTACACGTCATTGTTAGAACAAAGTTCAAATTGAAATTCTTCCCACTTATTTCGAACAATTTCCTTACCAAACTCATCGCAAACAACGATAACGATCCGAAGAGAAAGAGAGAAAGAAAAAAGAGTAATCTTCTTCTTCGAAAAATGGCTCGAAAGTTCTCTTCTCTATTTCCCTGCGAACTTCCTCCGAGCGTTATTTCACTCATATCGACGAGAAATACCAGGACAACGAAGTTGTGACGCGTGAACCTCCTGGCGATAAAGCTTATAGTGAAATTCCTTGGCACATAACCGGTAGAAGAACCGGTACGCCTCGTTATGCTTTTATGCTTTCGAACTGTCGTTGAATAGCCGGCGAGTGATACCATCTTCCTAGTAGCGTTATCATCGCATAACACGAATAACTGCGGATCGGTGGTGATTGTTCCTAAGTGCTTTGATGGTGGACCAACTATGCCATTCTTTTTTCTTTTTTTCCCTATCGTCAATTTGTCGATCGAAGAATCGACAAATTTTCGAAGAGAAAATTTTTCAGAAATTTTCAAGGAGTTCAAGAGTTTAATTTTTAATTCGAACGTATATTTTTATACCGGAATGAAAAAGAATGGGGAAAAAACCGTTCGTGGGTTTTAATAAAATTTCTCAGATTTCACGATTTCTGCACGTTTGCGCACGCGTTATTTTACGCGAAGAAAGAAAATTTAAAAATTTTATCTTTCCTGTTCCGAAGTTATTTACGTTAGTATGGTATAACAATAACATGATTGAATCATGTATGTATAAAAAGCTGTAATGTGACTCACTACCGTAAATATACATATATCATACGCATGAGTTAATAATAGAAATTTCAAAATTTCCAACGAATTTTCATTTTATACGAAAATTATATTTGGAATTTTCTTTTTTTTTTTTTTAAAAATCGGAATGCAAAGTTGAGATACTTTTTTTCAATCTCTTGAATTCCATTCGTTCGCGATAAATATTCCAATACCTATTATTATTATTATTAGCGAAATTCAAAATTAAAAATATCCAATAAATTTTTTAAAGAAATCACGGGATAAACATTCCCACCACCAAATTCAATTTTATCCCCTCTTCTCACAGCTTGAAAAAAAGCAAATTCGAAACAACTACCTCCCCATCCACACATTTCATCTTTTCCATCTTTTCAGCCCGTCCACTGTGCCGAAAAATTCCGCCCGCATCCCTCAGGAATTCCGCAACGATGAACGAGGATCCCGGGAGGATCGCGATAAAGGCCCCCGCCGTAGTAAAATTCCTGCTCGCGTATAACGCGGCGCGCAAGAGGTGGCGGCCCCGCTCACGCCCCCCCCTCACGGCCCCAAACGGTCGCCAAGCGGTCGCCTCGACTAACGACGACTCCAGAGACAGAGACAGAGCGAGAGAGAGGGAGGGAGGAAGAGAGAGAGGGAGCGAGGACGCGAACACCAGCGCACGTACGTACGTACGTACGCGCGGAGAGGAGAGTAGAGTAGTGCGACGGTTGCACCACTCGAGGTGCACACGAGCGCGCGGAAGCACACGGACACGGTAGGCCGGCACGAGGCGAGCAGCGGCGGCCGAAGTCTCGAGCGAACGGGCGAGTAGTCGCGAGTAGACGGCCTCTGCCACGGGATCGCCGCCGCTCCGCCACGTTGTGCCGCGCTGACGGGGACCGGACTCTTCCCGTCCACTCTTCGGGAACAAGCGAGAAACGAGCGGAACGCGGCTCCGATTACCGCTCCTCTCTCACCTTTTCAAACGTCTCTCCCAACTAATTGGAGATTACACGCGGATTTCTTTCTCTCTTCTCTTCTCTTTCTCTCTCTCTCTCTCTTTCTCGTGTTTCGAATTTTGTTGTGTTCGCGAAAACTGAGCTTGAGTTTCACTTTTACGAACGGATATACCCGCGTCGCAGATATGTGATTTGTGTGACCCGTTTTTCGAGAGAATCCGGGTATGAATTCGAGCCACTGGATTTAAATAGGTTCGAGTTTCCGCTCTCGTTATATTCTTTGTTTGCTCTTCGATCTCTCGATCCCGGATCCGCAAGGATTCGTTCGAGATTTCTCTCGGAAGCGCCGTCGTCAACGAGCATCGGTAATCTCTCGGTTCTCGCCTCCAAGGAGCGCGCAACAACGTCTTCGATCACGTGTTTCCTTCCACCGAGTTACGCCTCGGCCAACCATTCGCACGGTTCGAAGGCCGACACCGACTCGACCGAGAGAACACCGAAAATCCTCCCCGTCCCCGCGCCTTTAAACCTGGCCCTTCCCCCCACCTTGCGCGCCCACCTTCCTCCCAATCCCTTTCCTCCGCTTCTTCTTCTTCTTCTTCTTCTTCTTCTTCTTCCACGAGAACCGCTCGCTCGGAGACCGAGTCGGCGAGGCTGAAATATTTGGCGCGCCGGTAACGAACGACCTTTCCTTCGAAATCGAAAAGGTCGCCGTGCCCTCTCCCCCTTCTTCCACTCGGATCATAGGTTGCACGGTGGTTGACTGGAATGGACCGTTATAGCAGCCGCATTCTTACGTGTCATCGGGCGCTGTGAAACCGCGCGGGAACTCGCGCGCTGAAACCACCACGGCGCCGCTTAATTAACGCGTAATTAACGATCTATGAAGCTTCGGGAATATTCGATATATTTTCAACGAGCGTTTTAATGTTCGTCTGTTGGAATCGTCGATCGTGGACGAGGCGAGTGGTATTTTTTACCGAGCAATCGTCCGAGAATTCGATCGAAAGTTCAAGATTACAATGAAGAAGGAGAAAAAGTTGGAGAATTATTTCCGAGAAATTCCGTTGAAATTCCAAGGATACGCGTTTGTTAAAAATTTCACCGATTTATCCCCCCTCGAGCGTGTTATCATCGATCGAGGAAACGTCTAAGAGCAGTGTAGCTTTCTCCTTCTCGAATTTGGAGGAAGAAAAACAATCGTGTCTCTCGATCCTCCGATCGAGCAACGGCCTCCTAAAAATCATAATAATCCCCACCCAGATATCGTGCGCATCCGAAACATGGAACCGTTCCACTTGGATCCGTTCCGCTGCCCGTGACGCGGCATCCACGATTTAATGACTCGAATCGGTTGTTGGAAAACGAGGATGAACGTGATAGAGCGAAGAAGCGACGAAACACGGCCGTGCGAAGTAGTGGTACGAATATCCCTGTGATTACAGCAGCAACCGTGTCATTAGCGTAACGATGGAAAGGGTTTGTTGACCGGTTCGTTTTTTCCCCAATCGTATTTCCTTGTACAACCGATTCGACACCGACGAAGAATCTGGAAAAGATCGGTCGAAGGAGATGGAGACGGATGGGCGCGGATGATGACACGTGCGTTACACGCAAGGATCGTGGACGTGAACGGAATGTGAGTGCGTTTTTTGCGGAGGAGCGCGCAAGAATATTTATACGCGCGCGGAAAACGCATTTATTTGGGACACGCGGGAAATATTCATGGGACGAGGTGGTCGGTTCGCGGGAGTGGAAATAGAGATCGACACGGTTGGCAACTGTTGAATAATATATACGAGTGCAGTTGGTGTCGAGTCGGAGGAGGGAAAGAAGAGGAGGAACAGTTTAAACGCGATTTTTTTTCTCTTTCGTCTTTTCCGTCCCCGAGAAATGACCATTTTCGAGAAAACGTTCGAGATGCTGGTTTGATGGAAGATTCGACGAAGGAAAGATGCGTGAGTATTTTTTTTTTTTTTTTTTTG